TGGTTTGGTCTTCCCGATCTATGTCCACTCTTGATTCCTTTTCCCTCGAGATTACTGACTTTCGCTGTTGATCTTCTTTCCAACGGACAAAGATTTACTATCCTTATTACAACATTTCTTTTTCTAATAGGCTTAGGAGATAAACCTCTACGATCACTTTTTTACAAGATCTCTCACCTCGACAACTTAAAATCACTTCTAAACTCAAGAAAGAAGAAACTCAAAAGAGAGAGTTTACAATACTTTTGTGCTTATGAATAGGTGCACCATTAACCAAGTTTGAGTAGGGTATTTATAGACTCCAAAAGACTTCAAGAATAGAGCCAAAAATTCAAATCCCTAAAATTTCAATGTACTACCGGTACTACTATTGGCACTGGGCAATAATACTATTGTAATGAGGCCGTGAATCATGGCTCTGGTAATAATATAAATAAATGCTCCCTTTAAGCCTATGAAATAATCAAGAAACAATATCTTCAAGTATTGTAAATGTCTTCTTTGCTATAAGGAGTTGATTTCTCTCGTCCTCCCTTATAATATCAGTTTGCTAGAATTTTTTCTGGTAGTATTTTCTTGATTTTGTTTCCGCTCTACATCACTCCATATATGAAGGTTTTAATATTTTTGATGAGTTATTAGCTTATGACTTCGATGGCTAATGTGTACATGCAAGCTATCTGTATAACAGTAATTTGAAATGTTAGATCATGTGTTTAAGTATCTTATTTAATTTTTTCCTTATCTTCTCATTTTCTTATCTATCCGATGACTTAAAAATGTTCTGAAACAAGTTCCCAATGTCATGGTTGACAAACATAGCTGAGCAAGTATAATCCACCCAAGCTGAAGTAAGGAAGTTGAAAGCTACTAATGTCAAGTACAAGGAAGTAGTTGATAAGCATAAGAGAGAGAAAGTGTTCAAGGAAGGAGATATGGTTATGATATACTTGTGAAAAGAGAGATTTTGCATAGGCACTTAAAACAAATTGAAGCCGAAGAAGTATCGTCCCTACAAGGTCTTAAAGAAAATCAATAACAATGCATATGTGATTGATTTACCAGATGATTGGGGGATCTCAAAGACCTTTAATGTTGCAGACTTATATGACTACTTTCCAAATGAGAATCTATTATATTTAGATATAAATTCGAGGGTGAGTTTTTCTCAAGTGGAGGGGATTAATGTGGAACAAGAAAGAAGACTATTTTCAAAAAGCTTAAAGTTGTCCTCTTGTCATTTTTATGTTTTTTTTATCCCATATTGCTAGTTAATTAGTTTTTATAAATAAATGCTCCCTCTAAGCCTATGAAATCATCAAGAAACAATATCTTCAAGTATTGTAAATGTCTTCTTCGCTATAAGAAGTTGATTTCTCTCGTCCTCCCTTACAAGATCAGTTTGCTAGAATTTTTTCTGGTAGTATTTTCTTGATTTTGTTTCCGCTCTACATCACTCCATATATGAAGGTTTTAATATTTTTGATGAGTTATTAGCTTATGACTTTGATGGCTAATGTGTACATGCAAGCTATCTGTATAACAGTAATTTGAAAAGTTAGATCATGTGTTTAAGTATCTTATTTAATTTTTTCCTTATCTTCTCATTTTCTTATCTATCCGATGACTTAAAAATGTTCTAAAACAAGTTCCCAATGTCGTGGTTGACAAACTAATTTGGATGCCTTTTTCATCGTATCTTACATTATATGCCATGATGTCTATATTTGACTAATAAAGCTTCTGGTGTTATATCTGGCACTTGGTATTTTACAGAAGATCCAAAATCTTATAGGAACACTGGTCAGCATATAAGCAGTCAAGATATCAGTCAATATTCTGCTAAGTTTTCTATTATAACTTAAGTTCCAGTCATTCATTCTGATAGAATATATACCTTTTTAAAAAATTAAATATTTTTGCTTTAATTGATGGTATGTCAACATTTTGCATGTAACAATAATTCACCCTCTTTCTTTGGTTGGTCAAGTGAATATTCTCTTGTCATTTTCTTTATTACTACCACTCATGTTGTGTTGTCTTGGTGTTATCTCTGTTCTGAAAATTTCTCCTAACATTTCTGCATCTGGTCTTTCAGTTGATAGAACTTTGTATGCTGATTTAAGTTTGTCATTGAGTTGTCACTGAGACTTTCCTATCTTGTGTTTCAGGCTGAGGAAAAAATGCGCCTGCAACTTAATAAGAGCCATAAGGAGTTGACAAACCTTGTCAAAAGTGGTGGCAACCCTCACAAGATTGATTCCACTGAAAAATTAATTAATAATTTTTCTACAAAAATAGGAATATCCATTCAGGTGGTTGAGTCAATTTCAGGAAAGATAAATAAACTGAGGAATGAAGAATTGTGGCCACAGATAACTGAACTTATTCTAAGGTATGGTAGTCTTCATTATGCTTTGTGCATCTGTCAGCAGTACATTCATGTAATTATTCAACTAGGTACATGAATACCAGTATCTATATTTCCACAAACATCTTGGTTGTGCAAGTCTGATTGCATAACTACATTACCCGTCTGATATAAGCTGGATTTTTGTTTGAAAGACTGGTATAACTCTTTCTGATTTTTAACTTCACAGAATATTTAATATAATATATGTGATTTTTGACACTCATTATCTACTTTATCCATAGATACTTTTTAGGTTAAAATTTTAAGAATCTAGTTCGACTGTTTTCTTTACTGTCCTTTTCCATGTTTGGTTAGGGTGAAACTTGTAATTCACAGATGTTTGTGAATTAGTCCATGTTTGACAAAGTAGTGCCCACAAAAGAATTTCTGCAATGAAGTTCACTAATATAGCCTGGTTATAGTTCAGCTTATCTTTGAAGTTGATGGTATTGTTATTACCAGCCTTAGATTCCACAGATCACAAATGATGAGTTTTGTTAGAGAATTTCTTCAGGTTTACTTTCCACTTCAGTGGGAGTGGAACAGTTTTCTCTTCCTTATTGAATGGTTATATTGTCATTTAGGCAAATAGCAAATCTTGTTTTTTTTCATGGCTTTTTTTCATAGAGCATTAATTCCTCATGTGTAATTTTTGTAATTTGTGATGATAGTTAAGGAAAAGGATTTATGATGCGCAAATTACATTTTGCACGGATTTAATTTATTATTAACATTTGATATCAAGTATGGTGTAATCATCATTTGCTGGGAATGAAATTTTTTTGAAGAAAAAAAAAGCAGCATGTAAGGCCTAGCTTTCTTTTATGTTTATGGCACTTTGAAATTTTATTATTTCTTAAGAGGAAAAAATAATTTTTTGGCAGGTTAATAAGGATGTGGAATGTTATGCTTGAGTGCCATCATATGCAGTGTCTTGCCATATCAGAAGCTAAAAGATCAGATCTAGATATCTCTAGTGGAAAGCTCAGTGGTGATCATGCGGATGAAATGATGCAGTTGGAAATGGAGATACTTAAATGGATCAGCAACTTTTCTGCCTGGGTTAATGCTCAGAGGAACTATGTCAAAGCCTTAAATGGATGGCTTCTACTTTATCTTCATCATGAGCCTGAAGAAACAGCAGATGGGGTCACTCCCTATTCTCCCAGAAGGATCGGTGCTCCACTTGTTTTCATTGTCAGTAACTGCTGGTCACAGGCTATGGACTGGAATTCCGAGAGGGAGGTGCTTGACGCAATGCAGGCTTCTGCTGCTGCGATACACCACCTGTGGGAGCAGCAAAACATTGAACCGAATGAACGGACGATAGCAATTAAAGATAGGGACACATGGCTTAGAGCTCTAAAACAGAAGTCCAAAAATATTCACAGGGAAATCGATTCTCTAAAAAAGAAGCTGGCAATCGTGCCTGGCCATTCTGGTCTCCCCGTTTATCAATGGCCATTTAAAGGCCATACAGCAAGATTAAGCAGTGTGCAGCTCGGCTTGGAAATGATCTTTGAGGCCATGAAAGACTTCTCAGCTAGTTCGGTGAAAGCTTATGGGGAACTACTCCAGCATTGTGGAGAACAGAGGATTGCTAGAGAGAATGCAAAAGCTTCCTTTGACTCTCGTTGTCTTCCAGCAACTTGCATGGAGGACACAATTGGCCAAAAGGTGTTCACCACATTTGGGTTTGATTAATTGCTTCTTTGAGGATAAATTTTTTCAGGTATTAGCTGAGTGTTTCAGCAGTCGTATCGACACTGCTGACTGTTGTTTGCTGTTGAGAAGTTCTATGACAGCTTTGTGCCATGCTCCTCTTGTATTACCTATTGGCCAGTGAATTGAAGGAAAATTCGTTTCAATGTGGAATGGAGTAAAGCAGAAGCACAAAGGTCTCTCCCTCTGGCTCCGCATACTCTTCTTGTTCAGCGGCTGAAATGTGTTTGTCAGTAGAAGCTGTTCTCCGTTCGATATGATGCATATGTGCCTATGATTACTGCACTGCGGCGATTAGCTCGGTCTAATTAGTACTATCAAGAGGCGATTTTGAACATAAGCATCCTGTTCTCTTTGTAGATGGAATTATCTGAACATAATATATCTGGGCACAAGACAATAGCTGATCTTCCTGTAGATCATCACATAGAGCAACCTACATATGTACATGTGAAAAAAGAAAACAAAAAATCTTTTGCTTGATGCGGCATGATGTTGATCGGATGCTCTCTCGAGTCTTAAAAGAAGATTTCTTAGGAGTGTCGGAAACAACAAGAAGCTCTTGCTGAAATATGAAAAATGCTGTTTAAATTTCTATTGTAAGAAGATTTTACAAAAGGTTATTTCCAGTGAAATATAATTTCGAGTTTTGTATGATGAATTGCTGTTGTTCTTCTGATACTCTTAAACAAATGTTGCATGAAAGAAAAATTTCTTCATTTAGATGTTATGTTCAGATTCTTAACTTGGTGAATTCATGTCAGTGATGGCTCCAACCCCATCTGTTACTGCATTGAGAAGCTGATGGTAGTGGTGGACATGACATATTCTACCAGTTAAAAGCGGATCAAGGGCAGAAGAACACTATAGTGTAAGCTGCTGTTTTACTGCATCTGCTCTCTCTGATACTGTCAATAGCTTCCTCTAACAACATCACAGGAGCCACAACATGCAGGTGGAGATCACTAGCTACATCAATAATGATGCTGATCCCAAGGCCTCATCTTGAGAAGAAGCAGAGACGATATTTCATCTTATCAAATACAAGTCTCAATTTTGGATAAAACACTCGAACTATCACGTTCTATAGGTCAGTCGGGAAGGATTCATGTATCAGATCAACCAGCCATGGAGGTTCATGGCTCATGGCTCAGTTAGAAGTGAAGGATGTTGGCATATGGAGACCACTGGTCCAGCCATGGGCTGCGCAACTGTGCCAAGAAGGGGTCCTGCATCCACTCCGTGCCGGACATCGGAACCTGAAGCTCCGGAAGGTTCACCGGCCGGATAACCTCCTGCTTCATCTCCTTCACACCGCAGTCCATTGGAGCCGATCGACTCTGGTAGTTCTCTTGATCGGAGTTGGATGCGCTGTCGGCGGCCATGGAAATGTAGCCTTGTGATGCCTTGGCATCCTCTTCCTTGGCGGCCCTCTGCTCCAACTCCTTCAGCGACGTTGCCTTCCTGTACACCTTGCACAAGACGACGTCCTCCTACATGTGAAGGCAGGCGTATCATCAGGTTAGCAGGTGCAGAACGCAACGCATCGAGTACGTGGATGGGATGCTATTGTTACCTTGAGCGGCATGGCGGAGGAGGCGGAATTCGCCTCCGGCAGCCGGTACTCGTTCATGATCCAGTCGGTCTTGGTCCCCCGCGGGGCGCGGCCCCGGTAGAACACCAGCGTCTTCTTCACCCCGATGACCCGCCCCGGCTCTGCCGCCTTCCGTATCTGCCGGTCGGACCCCGTCGCTTTCCAGAACCCCCTCTCCGTCGTCCGGTTCGGCCGCCCGCCGCTGCCGCTCTTCCGGTCCCTCGGCACGAAGAAGTACCACTCTCGCTCCCCTATCTTGGCCAGCCCTGAAACCAATCAACACAACAGCGCTCAGTCCACCGGCGGACGTTGCTCAGCTCACAGCAGGTAGAAGGCAGCACCAACCTGGGAGTTCCCATGGATCATGGCGGTAGATGTTGAGACTGCCGATCACATCAAAGTGAAGCTTCTGGCCAAGAACAACTCGTCTGAGATAGAAATCCAAGAGCTCCTCCTCCGTCGGATAGAACCGGAAACCCGGTAGATCGAGCTGGGATCCTCTTCTCTCCATTCCTTGTTCTTGTTCGTCTCCTTCTCCTTGCCGTGCCCCATGGCAGATAATGGAAGTCGAAGTGCTTATATAGAGAGGGGGATACAGGCATCACCTGGGGTCCACACGCTCAAGTAAATACTCTAACAAGTCATCGATGACCATTAGAAGCATTACCCATTCTCGATGAGCAAAGAAATTGACTCTTATTTCTCCTCTTCAACCCAAGGAGAAGTGATTCCATAGCTGTTGACTTGGGAGAAGACTCGAGTACTTCTTGGATCAGAGAGGAGGGTGAAGGATGGAGGGAGGAGGGTTTCATGGAAGTTGCAGCAGCTGTTGCCTAAGCAGCAGCAGCAACCAACCATGGGGTTGATGAGATTCTGAGAACAGATACCAATGTAAGATACAGAGACTGCGAAAGAGCAGTAATTTACGAAGAAATTAGCAGGAAACATTGATCACAGAGGAACATCTACATCTTGCTTAATCTTTCCGATGACAGAACGAAATTTGCAGAAAGTCCGGCGTTTGCGCGGCATCAAAAGAACGTGACTATTCTTTTTCTCTTGTCAAGATGCTCAACACATTTGACGTTTCAACAGTTCTTAGCCAAATGATTCATGGCACATAGCCAGAAACCAACACAGGCTCCAAATTCTCACAGCACGACTTCCAAGCCACCCTCCCCAAGTCTTCGCAGTCGTCACTGTCATCCCCGTGAGAACGACCCCTACCAACAAGACTTTGTCAATGACCCCATGCACAATCCACATGACAGACCATCTTGCAGGAGGGGGATGGAACTTGACCTTGTCAATGTTCATATTAATATTATGTCTCAACTAGCTTGGTTTCATGTCTCTGATTCGCTTGAAATGGATTCGATAAGTCAAGATTAATGAAGACGATCTCCGCGTTTGTGCCTCTAATGCATTCCAACTTGTCTTTTCCCCTCGTTTTCCAGTGAGGTGGTGGGGATCGGAACATCGGAAGTCAAGAGCAAAGACTTGTCACAGTGTATGGTGGACCGACCAAGAGACCTTGACTTGGATACAGAGCAACTGCTTTATGTGTTGGATGAGGTGGCAGGCCTCCATCGGGCAGCAGGATGGCTCAAGATGCTGTGGTGTGAAGTGGAAGGTGACCTGTGAAGATGCTACTTCACTAAGAGCTAGTGCAGTCTGAGGCCTCCTTGAGATATGCCGAGTTTAAGTGCTTCTATGTACTTTTACTTGAGGGAGTCACTGCACCTCTCATTGCCATAAAACACAGATTTAGATGTCTATAAACAGACATGGTTATCATACATAGTTAAAACTCATGTTTGAAATCAAAGCTACCGAGACATCTAAAACAAACCATTTCCTTCTTCATCAACTCAGACTGCAGTCCATACTTTAAGAATCTAATTCTTCTCAGCTCGGTGAAAGAGAATGCTCTCTCTTCCCCCATCTGTTGGTTGTCTTCGAAACCTGGTGGCAGCTTCGGTTGACCAGATGCACCGAGTCAACAAAAAATAATTTCAGAAAAGAGTGACTAGCTGTTGCGGTAAACAATTTTGAGCCGTGGCCTCGGGGCCGATGTGGTTTGGTTCGGATCCGGAAGGCGGAGATCTCCCTGGGGGCGTTCCTCGAGCCCGCTGAGGAGGTCGGGGGCAGTGTCCGATCGGTACGGTATAGTCGTCTCTGCCTTCGGGACCGACGGGGACCTTCGGCTTCGCACCTGCACAAAGGTCGGGTCAGGGTGCTCAACCCAACCCCTCCGATGATCAAGTTAGATGAAGATGTGGAGGGGGTTTCAAGAGAAGAAGTGTTTTGGAGTATGTCCCTCGCCCCTCTCTCTGATGAACGAGAGGGTATTTATAGAGAAGCTTGCTGTTGTTTGATGTGCCCGCCTGCAGGAGGCAGACTGATAGCGTCTGACATGGACATTGGCGTGACGTGAAGAACCGAGCTTGAGTAGGCGTTAATGCGTCTCGACCGGTGTTCCGGTTCAGTTGATCGAGTGCAGTTGCACCGATCGAGACATCTGCTGACGTCTACCGAGTCTTATCATAATTACTATCCTCATCACCAGCATTTCTGTTATGGTATATATTTCTAACATATTCCATGTTTTTATTTGAAGGTCATTTCTGCTAGGGATTAATTTTTGCGTCTTTCAGTTCTTTTTGAACCCCTTTATTGACTCCCCGGCGATGTTACCCGTGCGATGATTGGAGAGTTGAGGTGAATCTTGTGGGCTCTCAGGTGGGACGCGTTCCGTCTCCCTCTGAGGAAAGAACAAGATACTGACAACCGGACATGAGCGAGACCCGATGTGGGGGTATAGAAACGGGTAACGATGTGCGAGTATTTGTTTGCTCTGGCACTTCCACCTTACATCCATGGCAAAGTGATCCGTCAATTAAACCATTCTCCCCGGTCCATCTGTCGCCCTCCCGAACCGGCGCGTCCCGGGTCACCCGTTCATCGAGCCGTAAAGCACTTGAACCGCGATCGGACCGGGTCGGCACCCGGCCCGTGGGTTCAGAGAGCAGATTAGTCCATCATGATAGTTTCGGCCCTCGCGTTTGGGCGCTTGTCCGTGAGGACTGCGGCCTTCTCCGGACCACTATGCTTGCTTGCAGTCGACGTGACACACACAGAGCGCACGCCAAACGAGAGACTCCATCGCGTCGAATCGGATCGATCCTCGCAGATCCCTCTTCCGTGCGGTTCCTCGTCCCGTGCAACGTCTCTCGGCGACGATTCGAGGCTGCGGGTCTTGCATCCTCCGGCTGCGCAACTCAATCCCTATACATCGTTCGACCTGGTCCTGACATTTTCAGTTTTCTGCTCTTTACGATCTAGATCTATGTAGTTTTCCAGCTTGTCTTGTTCCTACTGGGAATCTTTAGGGTGTAATTCGATCTTGTCTGCCCTAAGAGCTTCAAGTGTTTGTTTTGATGTAGGTCGTGATTTTAGGGATGGTTTCTTCTTGTTCGCAATGTTGATTCTTTTGCCATTTTGTTTGCAGGCTATTTGGAGGTCTTCCGTTTTAATCTTGGAGTGAGTTACCAGTGGAGACTTCCCGACTTCGACTTCCAGGTGGATCATCAAATTATCATATTCATGATGCCACGCATGCCTGTAGAAATTTTTTAAGGTCGTTTGTCTTTGCTCAGTTTGCAGATAATTTGGATTGTTTTCATGTGATTTGTCCTCTTATTGGTGTTGACGTCGGTGTCTCGTTCTGTTGTCAATCAAAATAATATCGTTTGTCTTATTCCTAGAAGTTTTCCGTAGATGATGATATAGATGGATCAAATTTAATGCTTGATAATGTAACCCTTGTTTTATTTAAGTCTCCAGCTTACAGTTGCTGCAAACATAGAGCGGCATCAACTTCTTGCTGAACGTTTAGAAGAGGTAGAATGTGCTTGCATCCATGTGGTCATACAAGAATGTGACGTTCATAGGTTTTAGATGTAGTGCATTCCTAGATCTTACTGCTATATTTGAACCTGCGCCATCCCCCTGAAGCTTGTTTGAGAACGAATGCCTTTTTATGCCAATAGTATATGAAGCGAATCACTTGTATAACCAATTGGTTAGCGTCCAATACTTTTCCTCTATTGGACAAGAAGGATCATTTTTTTTGTTTCTATCTCTCTAATTTATTGATTCTGTTGAGATAAGGGGTCCATATCATCTCTAAATATTCTGCTTCTGAATGTCCAGTTCTTGTTGACTGGTCACTTGATACACTATTTCACTGACCAATTTGTGCTGTCCCGTAGGATCTTTTCTCTTGGAGCTAAGGAGTACCCTGCAAAAGCTTGATCTTTTGTGACCCTTGTCTTAAAGTTAGATTTTTGGCTTGGTCAATAATGGCAGCAGGGCCTGCTTGTACACTTAACCATCTTACATGGTGGTCTAGCCCTGGGGATTCTTCCCTTCCAGTTGTAGGTAAAGAGAAAGAGATAAAAGCAAGTTGGTAGAGTGATGTACAAGCTCTGAATGTTTCAATATAATCTGATGGATGCTAGTAAAGGAGTTGGCTCAGCTGACCAAAGACCCAAACAATGTCCAGCCAGCTCTGCTGATGCTAATGTTAGACTACCAGAGGTCACTGCATCAGGTGCTGTGAGGCCTGTTCTAAATTACTCATCTCAGACAGGTGAGGAGTTTGCTCTTGAATTTATGAGAGAACGGGCCATGCCCAAGAAGCCTACTGTCCAAAATGCAAGCAATGATCAAAATATGATCACTAATAACGGAGACATGAAATGTGGAATGAATATACCACACATGGGGTCTGAAAGTATGAAAGATCCTTTAAAGCTTGTGACTGGAGATGATTGTCAATTGAAGGAGATTGAAAAGAACTTCTCTGATACTGAACAGAAAGGTCATTATGCATCATCAAGGTCAATACAACAAATATCATCTGGTGAGGGAAGTAGTCGAACAGTGTCTAATGGGTATACTCCTGCACAAGCTTCTGATATCTCATCCAGAAGGATGAAATTCCTCTGCAGTTTTGGTGGTAAAATCTTACCTCGGCCCAGTGATGGAAAACTGAGATACGTGGGAGGTAATACACGTATCATACGAATAAGCAGGGATATTTCATGGGAAGAATTCATGCAAAAGACAATGGCAGTATACAGTAGGCCTCATACCATCAAGTATCAATTGCCTGGGGAAGATCTGGATGCATTGATATCTGTTTCATGCGATGAAGATCTACAGAATATGATGGAGGAATACAATGTTCTTGAAGGTGGTGAGGGATCACAGAAACTCAGATTGTTTCTAATTACTCCAGATGACGTTGATGATGTACACTTCAGCTTGGGTAGTGCGGATGGTGATTCTGAGATCCATTATGTTGTTGCAATCAATGACATTGATTTAGGATCTGGAAAATCCTCATATGGACATGGATTGGCAAGTACTTCAACAAGTGACTTGGATCAGTTACTTAATCTTAATGTTGAATCTGGAAGAGCTAATGCTTACACGGTTGCGGCTCAGTCAGCTGGATTTATTACTGCACCTGTAGCATCTCCTGCTGCATTTCCTTCAAAAATCCAATCAAGCTTATCTGCTCACTATGATAGCCATCCGCAGGGTTTTGAGGATCATAGATACCATTATGTTGAAGGTGAACAGTATGCTTACAATTCCATCAATCCACCTGATAGATATCAGAATTTAGATAGCATAATGTCCATTCCTATGTCTGTAACATCTGATTATCAATATAGATCCAATTATACAGACATTGGTTCTTCTGTTCAGCCAGTTCAACAATTTCTTTATCAAGGCATCGCTCAAGCTCCATACAGTGGTATAAGTCCATTTGATAAAGAGCCTGTGAAAATGGATTTGAAACTGGCGGTTGATGACTTCTTTCAGAGGAAAATGGAAGGTAAACATGTTGGTTCCCATGATACTGAACCTATTTCAACCATACAGCAACATGATGCTTCAGTTTCAAACTGTTTGCATGCGAAAAATACAAATGTTGTTTCTGTACCAGAGAATTTAACATCTGTGCTACACTTGAAAAGTAAAGGGAAACAACTGGAGCCTGCATCAGTCTCATCAGCCATTTCTGTGACTGTTGGACATGGTTCTGATCTTAACATAGATGACCACTACCCCTCTAGTGAAACTTTGACGTCTGCTTATTATGATGATGAAGCTGATATGACTGAGGGAAACTCCAAGAATCCACCTTCAAACCCTTCCCGAGGTTATCAATCTGAGAGGCTTCCTAGGGAGCAAGTGTTCCTAAATCGGCTTTCTAAATCTGATGATTCCAGTGGTTCTAATTATCTGATAAATCAGGCATGCTTGATTGCAGCCCAAGAATCTGTTGCTGAAGCAACTGACACCATACTTGAGGAAGAGCTGGGTGCACAGACTGAGAAGCCGCTATCTTCTGCGAAGCCACCACGCCCTAGTAATGCAAGTATTGAAGATAAGAAAGTGAGAAATGCAATCAATCAAGCTAATAAATTCAGACATGTCTCTATTGTAGAGGGTTTGGAAACTGCAAAATTTTCTCAACCTATGACCCCATTAATTAATCAGGATGTGTGTGATCCAGATGAAGTTGTACCAAAATCAGTTGTTCAGACAGGACCTCATCAAACTGATGTTATCATTGATGAGAAAACTTACAAACAAGCAAAGAAGATTCATAAACCTGAGTTTCAACTTGCACCTTCAAAGTTTGTGTCCGATAAGACTACAGTTGTTGAAGATGGGATTTTGCAGGAAACCAGTATGAGCAGACACATGCAAAAGGTCACAAATGTTGGTGATACAGATATGACCAAAATCAATATCAGAGAAGCATATGTTGCTGGAGCTCTCATTAAGCCCCAGGAAGGTCCTTCTGTAATTCAGAATATTCCGTGGGATGAAAAACCTAACAATGATACGTATAACAATGATGTTGTTGAGCCAGCTTTTACTTGGGTGGAAACTGCTGTTGGAGCTGCATCTCAGGAGGAATCTTCTGCTCCCTCCCTGGAACAACGAGATATTCTTGTTGATATTAATGACCGGTTCCCTCCTAACCTGCTCTCTGATATCTTTAGTAAGGCCGGGAATGCTGAGAATCTCTCAAATATAAATCTCCTGCGTAAAGATGACACTGGACTAAGTCTGAACATGCAAAATCATGAGCCAAAGCGTTGGTCTTTCTTCAGAAATCTGGCCCAGGATGAGTTTAATTGTAAAGACTTTTCTCTTATGGATGAAGATCACATTAATTACCCAGCCTTTCTTCCTACGGTGGAAGAAGGGATTTCTAGGCCATATCAGTTTTCACCGTTGGAAAATGAGAGAGCTGATTTTGGTCAAATTGATTCACAAATTGATTTCAGTGAGGAAATGCAAGATTCATCCAGTACCGTTGTTGAGGATCCTAATGTTCTGCACCCAGGTTATATTCCATCACAGGTGTCTCATCATCTTGGAATGGACAAGGTTGAAGGGTTGCAGGTAGAGAACCCTTTTACAAAGTTAGGAGAGACATTAAGAATGCACATGTCAGAGAATGAGGTATGTGTTTCTCCTGCAGAATAATAATTTATTTTATTCCTTTTACAAAATCATCACATGGCTTTCTTTTGATTTTAGGAATTAAAGTTTGAAGATGGGGAAGATGCTGAGCCAGTGGCAAATGAAATCGCGTATGATTTTGATCTTAGTAATTTGCAGGTATGATGCATGTCCTGCTCAGGGTTTGCCTTACCGGTCGGAACTAGTGTATCGGTCGGTAGGCTGGTGGTATGGTACGTGTCGCCTTGTACTAGTGTACCGTGTGTCAGTACGGCGAGGCTTACTGATAACACAGGAAAATGGCAAAAAATAACTCCAAATTTTTTTGAAAATTTGAAAAAAAGTTAGATTAGGGGTTTTAAGTTGGAAAACACTATTCAAGGCCTTAATTACTCCCTAGTTAACACTATTCTACCATCTCAGACTTCGTATCGGGCGATACGAGGTCATTTAGCGTATACCACCTGGTACAAGGTGGTCCGTGTACCAATCCTCGGTCAGACCGGTATATACTGCTCGTATTGGGCGGTATACTGCAGCACGACAAACCCTGGTCCTACTATTAATTTGTGAAGGCAACAACTTACTTATTCCTTGTACCCTTGGTGACCTTATAAGGTTGCTATTGACCAAGGCTCAAGTCATGGAAATAGCCTTAAGGTTGCTATTTTATTATATGGTGATCAAGAGCTTGAGTCATGGAAATATCCTTTTTGCTAAGGTGCAAATCTACATACATTAACCTTCGAGCCTGATGCACTAAGCCATTTATAACTTTTGATTCCTAATAAATGTCTGACTAATAAAAGCATTTATTTTAATTCTCATAAGGCTCATGCATTAACCTTGATTGTAGAGGGTGGTTCTTTTACCAACGTGCTGACAATGGCTGCTAAATTTTTGAGATAAAATGTTGAGAGAATTGAACTTTAGTTTCCAAGTAAATTGTTGATGAAGTTGGTTGACAGCATCTTTTAACCTCTAATGTCCTTTTTTTTCCTTTGTCTTTTTCACTTTTGAAAAGTAATTCTAGCAAACATTTGCTTAACTTACTATCACATAATGCCTAGACAATGTACATTAGCACTTAAAGAAGGTTGTAGTTTCAGGTAGGAGCTGGTTTGTAGTTAAAGGCAAATTTCCATGTTTGATTTATAGGTAAGGCGAATTACCATATTTAGAATATATTTTGTGGCACAAATGAAACATCGTAAAACAATTACAGAGAAGAAAGAGTTTATTTTATTTTATTTTGTTGTCTTGTGCTGCCCATTTAGTTAGGACCTTCTTTCGTCGCACATTTTTATCTTTGTTTGGTATTATTATTTAAGTATATGCATTTCTAAAGGTTGCACATTATCAGGTAATAAAACATGAGGATCTCGAGGAGCTTAGAGAACTGGGTTCTGGCACTTTTGGTGCTGTATATCATGGAAAATGGAGGGGTACTGATGTGGCTATAAAACGGATAAAAAAGAGCTGCTTCACTGGACGATCCTCTGAGCAGGAGAGGCTAGTAAGTTGTCCAATTTTAGTTTCATTGTCTTCCAGTTCTTTCTATAATCAGTAACAAGAGTAACCAACCTACTAACTGTGTTATAAATAATAAATTGAAGTTTTAGAAACAATAAAAGTCAACAGGTAGAAACTTTTGGTAGCAGTAACTAGTCACTTTTTGCAGACTATGGAGTTTTGGCGGGAGGCTGAAATTCTCTCCCAACTTCATCATCCCAATGTGGTGGCTTTTTATGGTGTTGTAAAAGATGGACCAGGGGGAACCATGGCAACTGTCACGGAATTCATGGTTAATGGTTCTCTTAGACATGTTTTACTGCACAAGGACAAGTAAACTCTTTCTGCTTTTTCCTTATTAATGGTTTTTTATTATATAAAGTGATTGTTATATTCTTTAATTGTATAAATTAACAGGTACCTTGATCGTCGTAAAAGACTTATCATTGCAATGGATGCTGCTTTTGGGATGGAATATTTGCATTCTAAAAACATTGTACATTTTGATCTGAAATGTGATAACTTGCTAGTAAATCTTAAAGATCAGTCACGTCCCATTTGTAAGGTATACTCTTTAAAGCTCAGTCATGTTGACCACCTATATATTTGGTTTCTGCATCACCTGGGATGTGAAATTTTGATCTTGCATGGGATGCCATAAAAGTTGCCATCATGTCAATGATATCCTTAAAGCTGGCTAACTACCAAAGATATTATCCAGGTTGGTGATTTTGGTTTGTCAAAAATTAGACAAAATACTCTAGTCTCCGGTGGTGTCAGAGGCACACTACCATGGATGGCTCCAGAATTATTAAATGGAAGCAGCAATAAGGTGTCTGAGAAGGTACCAGTGTTTTTTTTTTTTCTTTAGTTTGTTTCTCCTTTTCTTTCTAAAGTAGGACAAGTGCTGCTCTTCCACATAATTATATCACTTTAGGCTGAATTTTAAGCCAAAACCTCAACTACTATCATTTCATTTTCTACCTATATATGAAGCCTGTGTGTCAACCATCTGTTAAAAGGAACTTGATGGTTAAATTGAAGAGTCTGAGACTGCTTTATGATACTTTCTTATGAGCTGTGATATTCATACTTGGTCTTCACCTATCCTGAGTATCAGTTTTGGTGATGGCTGCAGGTAGATGTGTTCTCTTTTGGCATTGTTATGTGGGAAATTCTCACAGGGGAAGAGCCTTATGCCAATATGCATTATGGTGCAATTATAGGTATGCTTCAATTTCTGCAGAATTATGTCCAAAAATGGCTCAAGGTTATAATATGCTGTGGTGATTCTCTTCTTCAAAAGTAAAATTTTTCCCTGTTTTGTTTGGAAGCAAAAACTGACTACTGGTAAGCACCTTCTAGGACTAACCTTTGGTTGAACTCAACATTTTGGCCCATTGTTTACTTTGGAGTTTGGACCATGTTCAGTTGATTTTGGATCATGCTTTTGCTGTTGGGTTGACCATATTAAATATCAGGGTGTACTAATTAAGATCATGTATTGAGTTTCAGATACATTGGAATCACTACACAATGTGGAGTTTGTTGACTTAAGTGAACTAGAAGTAGAAGTTTAGCTGAAACTGACTAACCATAAGAGTAGATGTTAAAAGAAAGAGTTTTTAAGTTCTTCATGTGGACTGGACCTGTTGTATCTGCAACATGAATGACAATCTTACATAATTTAAAAGCTTGTTTGAAAAGCTACCTGTGTTTTCTGCTTAACTTAAAAGTATTTTCCTAAATGTCTTCAAACAAATGAATGTTTTGAAAATACACATTATTCGAGGAGGATGAACCTTGGCATTGCTTAATTGCCTTTTTAGTGTTTGATGGTTTGAGTAACAAAAACAAACACACTGCATGTGATGGCAGGGGGCTTATAGTTGGTGGTGCTGGGCAAAGTGTCATATTATTCACCCTCCTTGATTATACATTTTGAGGAGCTTCACATTAGGCACTCCTTTTATCTTTTTATTTAAGATCTGAAAAACGACATTGCAATGATCCAAATGCCTTCCACTAAAAATGTGCCTATATGTAGTTCCTTATGGCCCTGGGGACACTAATGTTATTTCTAATATCAATGCCACATTGTAATCCTTTTATTTTATTTATTTATTTATTTTTACATTGTAATCTTTTTATTGATTGCTGAAACTGCTCCCCTGGATATCGGCTTAAGGTTGTAAAATTTACCATGCACCTAGTCAGGTGTTTGAACTGGTCATCTTTGCTACGTGTTCTTGAATGTAAAGCAAGCACAATTGACTTGATCCTGGTGAACAAACAATAAAAGTTGTATGTGTTTTGAAAGATTCAGGGTCCTGACAAACCGGTTTTGATATTATGTGTTGGTAAAGGGTAAGGATTCAGCCATGATTTGTATATTATCAAAATCTTCAAATTGCTTCTCGAAAATTTCTTTCTTGCTGTTCTTTGTTTGTGCTAACTTATGCAAGAGCAAAATTGTAATCTACATCTTTGCATTAAAATTTGTATAATATACAGGAGGCATTGTGAATAATACATTAAGGCCTCCAGTGCCAGCCACATGCGACCCAGAATGGAGAAGGCTAATGGAGCAGTGCTGGGCTCCTGATCCCTTGCAAAGGCCTTCCTTCTCCCAAATAGCTGGTCATTTGCGAGCTATGTCTGTTGCCAGTCAGGTGAAACCGACCAAGTGAGAGTATGCAAACACTCTTAATCCTATGGTGAATTATTTTCTACCACTTAAGCTGAATTATTTATTGTATAGGAGGTATCATTTGTACTGTTGATTGTCTGCACTCTGCAATATATATGTGCATGATGTGTGTGTGTGTGCTGCTTAGATTATTGCTTTGCTTATAAGGAATTCTTTTTTGTATGAGATGTAGTATGGTTTGCACTATAGAGGATCTTGTCATCATGTAACATGTATTTAGTCTGTATTTAGTGAAGTTATATTAATTTGCTCGCATATTTATTATGGAGCTTATTATATGTTAGATGATTTTGATACATTTCATCCGAGGAAAATGATAACCTGTATTTAGTCTGTATTTAGTGAAGTTATTTTAATTTGCTAGTTGATTGTGATTTCATTAAATTTGGAGGTTCTCTCTATTTTGTTGGTTGCACTTCGTTGTCTTCATCCCTGCCTCTATGTGTGTAAAATAACCTCTATTATATTAATTTGCTCGCATATTTATTATGGAGCTTATTATATGTTAGATGATTTTGATACATTTCATCCGAGGAAAATGATAACCTGTATTTAGTCTGTATTTAGTGAAGTTATTTTAATTTGCTAGTTGATTGTGATTTCATTAAATTTGGAGGTTCTCTCTATTTTGTTGGTTGCACTTCGTTGTCTTCATCCCTGCCTCTATGTGTGTGAAGGACTCGCCTTGCCGGGTATCTGCAGTTCACCCGAGTGCTGATGTTAGCCAGTTGTAGCCCAATTCCATTCCAGAAATAATTTGCTCATTATTTCTATAAAGTATTCCTCTTTTTAAAGTCTCTTTTGCTATTTCATTGTGGTTCTTTGAACGACGTCGGAAACCTCGTTAGGAAATAACGTGTAATAATACCAAAATAACAACACCAAAAGAAAAAGGAAAAATAATTAAAGCATTCTTTTCGAATTGTTTGCTTCCTGTGCTTGTTGCCTTTTGTTAACCACATAAATTGGGGAAAATAAGAGAAAAAAATTCAAAACCGAGTTACCACCAAGGCATTAATAATCTAAAACCCCTGCGTCGAATCGCAACTCATAGCCTGCGTACCGATCGAGTGCTCGTTCTCCTCCCACCAACAGCCGTACCCTCCGCAACAGCGGCGTACCCATTCTTATTCTTCATCTCCTTGCTGCACCTCAGCGACGACCGCAAGCTGCTCACGCGGCTCGCCGAGAAGTCCGCCGGCATCGACTTCCGCACCCCCTCGGCCTTCTTCGACACCCTCCTCTTCGCGAGCTCTACCGCGACCCCGGGGTCCTCCGCCACGGCCTCCTCCCCCCAGATCTCTCCCTTCTTCCGCTTGAGCCGCTCGTTCCTCCGCGCCGAGTAAAGCTGGTAGAACCGCCCCCGTTCGAACAACGGGCTCCCGTTACTGGCCTCGAGGGACACTGTGGCGGCAGCATACACGTCGCCCCAGCTTCCGAGTTCTTCCTCTGCGGGCTCCGAGACCTCTGCCAGATCCGGCGAGATCAGCGGGCGTTCTGGCCGGACCGGCGATCCCGTGGGCACCGAGGAGCGGTTCGAGAGTGGCGGCTTCTTAGCGGTGGCTGCACATACACATGGCATTAAAGAGTGAGGGAAAAAAGGGGTGAAGGCAGGCGGCCGTTCTTCGAGGTAAAGTACCTGAGTGCGCTCGGGATGATAGAGAGTAGGAACCCGGCGGCGGTCGGCGGGGACGAAGGCGGCGCGGAGACACCGCGAGCGGCGGCCGACCATCCATCCGAGGTCCTCTAATGGGCTGCATCAATTTCCATGGAATCAGAGCTCTCTCCCCTCCGAGGCGGAGACGATGATGGACTTGGTGAGGGGATCACAGAGAGAGAGAGAGAGAGAGAGAGAGAGGGATTGGGGCAAATGGCTTTACCTCTTCCGTGTGTGTGGAGCGGTCGTGGTTATCTTCTGTTGTGATTCGTTGCTTGTGGTCGTTCGTGTGCGGAGTTGGTGGGAGAGGATTTAAATAGCGGGAGGTGGGGATGCGAGCGAGTAAGGTAGCGAGAGAGAGAGACAGCGGTTCCAACGGTCGAATTTTTTGAAATCCGACCGTTGTCGATTGTGAGAAGCAACGGAGAAACCTCAGCTCCTGCGGTCTCGACGTGGCAATTCATGTGATACGGCCAAGGAGGCTCCTGATACGATGGATGTCGACAGCGGACGGTCCGTGATGAATCAATAGAGGTAAGGAAATTTTTGTTGGCTGCCTACGAATTAGAATTATTATTATTATTATTAATGCCACTTGATTTCAAATTTGGTGAAGTCGTGTTGGGATTTTGAGATCTAATCCCAAAGGATTGATGTTTGGGCTCATAATAATTAGAAGATTTGGCAGTAACGCTGTCAAAGACTCGGAGTGTCATTCTAGGTTCTTAATCGGTGGGAGCAGTAATGGTTGCCGTGTTAGGAAGGCTGCACAGTGGTCGATGACATAAATAGCTAATAATTTATGTTCGCTACCTCGACAAATCCCGGGATTGAAATAGAATCCAAGGCAGATACGTTGGTCATGATGCTATACAAGAATCTATTCCCATGGAATAAGATGGTCCACGATTAATTTGAGGAAAAACCCTCTATTTATCCTCATTAAAAATTTAATCTTAACCCGTGTTTAAAAACCTGTAGACTGTGGATTCAATTATCCATTCTTTTATAAAAATCTAAATTTTAATTTATAACAAAAAATTACTTGCTAATCATTTTAAAATTTTTCATTGATAAAATTAAAAAAAAAATATTTTTAATTTAATTTTTTTCGTATGGATTTAATTGTCTGACTTATCTCGTTCCACCAATTAACGGATCAATCCTAACAAATCTAAAATTTTCTTCTCTTATTCCATCAATTCTAATAAGAAGCAAGATATTTGCTCATTTTTTTTCATATTAAAGTGGAAAATTTTCCTTCTAAATATCTTGGCTCCATGATTAGTCTTAAAAGGATCTCTACATTTGCTAACATGACTCAATATATCCAAGACAAGTTGGTAAATAAAAATGTGTCCAAAGACTTTGGATAAATGAAAAAGAGTATTAGGGACTTCTTTTGGTAGAAGATTAGGACAATATCACTTTACAAACCTCTAGTTTAACCTTTCAAATCAAAAAAGTTAGTATGGTTCTTAATCGGGAGGATAATCTTTAGATTAGGATTGTTACTATTAAATTTGGCAAAATATCCCCTTAGTAGAAATATTGTTTGAGTTGACTAGTGTTGACATCTCTTTTTTATGTGCATGTCTTATATAATTAAGAATAATTGCTAGGATGAGAAAATGATATTACACTTATTTGGTTCAGTGAATGAGATTTATCTTCATTAAATATGTCAGTATGATCATAGATGACTAATCTCAAAGGACAACTTAGGTTATTTATAGGTTCAGTGGTATTGATGACGAGAGGTAAAAATTCTTTTGGAGAATACTTGTATTTCTTATTTCTTAAAGTGTTATTTTTTGGTTAAAAATTATTATATAAGAGGCTCCCAACCTCTATACTGCTTAATCATTTTTTTTGTATGGGAATAGGCCAGATGAATAAAATCATATTTTCTTTAATTATCTTTTTACTTATAGTGTGTGAAGGGGATTGGATAGAAAACTTAATACCAATTTTAGTTTTTAGTCAAATTGGTACAAGAGAGCTTGGATTAAGAAGGAGGATGACCTTACTATAACCAATGTCGAGCTCCTAAAAGTTTTGATTGCATATAGTATATGACTAATCTGGAAGGCCAGGGATTCTGATAGCATATACCTTGTGTTGTAAATCTTTACCTCAAGGAAGTATGAGGAGATGTCAAATACTTGTAACCTAGTCTGAACCCACCTTGGGATGATATAAATTAAATAATAATGGTTCCTTCTATACTCAAGATGATGTGTGGGAGGAGCAGGTTTTGTCCTTGGAGATTCTGGGGGATCCTATGTACTGATAGGATGTAATTTCTCACCTGATATTGATTGTTGGATAGCTGAGTTAATGAATGATAATCAAAGTGGGGTTTGGCACCTAATTGATCACTTTCAAGATTGTAAATTTTGCCATGTTTTTTAGTAAAGGGAATACAAATGCTAACAGTTTAGCATGTTTTGCTTACTTTAATCTGGAGATATTCTTAGCCTTTACAATTAGCATATCTTTTGTGCTCAGAGGAGCATAGTATTCCTGTTTTTAATCTTCTCCAGTAATATGTTTGCTTTTGTTTGGAAGAAAAAAAAAAAGTTGTTAGTCACAAGGAAAGCTTACAAAAACTAATTATACTATTTTGGCCATTTGTCCATTTTCTATGCAATTTCCATTGCATGATCTGCAACTTCTGTTGCACCCAAAGATCATTCATCATCATCATACAGAATTATACTCTGCCATGGTAAATTTAGGATTTGATGGGGGAGAGAAGCATCAAGTTACCACCCCCTGACATTGGCACTAGTGACCAGTGTCCAACAAGAAGAGAGCTGGTTCTGACTTTGCTGCATATCCATATCTGTAACTGCTGTATTTTCTATGTACTACTGTCAACTTCCCTTGTCCAGCCTTGTGGTGGAACTCCACCATCAACCTTGAGCACTCACTGCCATAAAGAACAATTCATGAATGAAAACTATCGATCCTTAATTTCCATGAGATCAAATGAAGAAGGTCAAGGCAGATATGAGAGGGAGCTCACAGAAGCTGCTCCTCTGAATAGGAGGTGTGCAGCTCGCTAGTTTTGGTCCAACACTTGAAGAATCCTCTGAGAGAACACTGTGCGGTGTAGATCGCGGCAGCAGCCAGCAAAGAAGGCTGGAACTTGAGCATTTTGTACTCAACCAGACACAGCTCGATGATGAAGAACGAGACAAGCTCGAGCTGGTTTTGTGCAAAAGGCAGGTGATAATAATTCCATTAGATTAATGTCACTGATTTGTATTTATCATAACAAAAGCAAGTCTTATTACCTTCTTGTCAGACTCTGCTGCCTTGAGAAACCTTCTCATGAAAACATAAGGAGTTGGCACAGACAAGTTGAATTGCAATGTGTTGATGATCGATCTTTCCTGCTTGCACAGATCATTTTGTGGTCGATAAGCACAATCTACTACAAGTTTGTAATGTCACCGGAGGCTACTATTTGATAGTGGCATTGTCAACAAGCTACTATGAATCCTAAGCAGAACTTTTGTCTATGGATCCTTGGGTAATTTATCATAAGAATACTATTACCATTTCAAGGATTTCTTCCCTGGTGTAAGCACGGTCGGTGATGAGAACAAAATCCTCTACCATCGGCACGGAGAGTTCCTCATACTTGCAAGCAAGAAGCATGGCTGTAACTCCAACCAGCTGAAGCTTCTTCCTCGCTACCGTCATCCTTGCCAAGAACCTGTCTATGATGTTTACGGTCAGAAAAAGTGTCTCCTCCATCAGTTCGAATTTGTAGTGCACCTGCAAAGGAAAGATCGAAGAAATTATAATAAGATTATATTTGGTCATTGACAAAAGATTGAAAGAAGTGGCCATTGACAATCAAGTTTGTATTTGGAAAAATTCTTCGATACCTCTATCAGCCAGTCGACGAGGATAGCTCGCATTTTCTCATTGATGTCAAACTGGTGAGACATGTAATCAGGGCTCACACAACTTGTAACCTGAACAGTAGTGCATTCAGTACATTTCAGGTAAATGCAATCATGTTGATGAAGAACTAGGAGTGCACTGTTACATTGCTTTATCGCGAAAAAGATAACCTAAAATAAGAACAATTAAGACTAAATATCATCCTACAGACTTGACATATAATGCTTTCCCATGATATATAGACAAGTGATGAAGAATGAGATCAGATAATTCACTACAGGTAACTTTAAGTTTTATATGTAGATGTTCACCTCAGTTTGTCTGTAGAAACTATATATATCTTCTACATATTCGACGACGGCAAGCGGATTATTCGAATCACAGCTATCGATGTCCGGAGCTGTCTCGATGACAAGATCCTCCATTTCAATCTCCTTGGGATCAGAGGTATCCTGCAATGATGATTTGCATCAAAATTGGCTCACGAATGGAAGGCATTTGCCAAAGCGCATCAATGGTGGTTCAGAACAGACCACTTCTTCCATTTCGTCTACCATGGGCAATGCTATGTCAGAATGCATATTACAATCATCCACATCTATCGCAGTACAACCATCGAAACAGGTCGAACTTGACACTGTTGATGGCAAGGGTGGATCAAACTGGGTCTCATTCCTGACTTGTTCATGCTGTTCTTTGGTCCCCTAAACAAAATCAATCACTTTTCATTTATGCAGAATAAAATGCTATAGATTAGATGATAATTTGATGAAATTACCCGCTGATAAGCTTGAGATTTTCTTTCCAATGTAGCCGCAAATTTCCTAAAAATCCACCCCATCAACCAATAAAAACCAGTAAAGGAGCGATAAAAGAGAAGGAAGATGAAGAGAAAGCTGAGTTTGGGCCCAACCCGGTCATGGGTCGTCGAGCTACGGATGTCGGATTTTGATCGTCCACACTGCCCTTGCTGTTGAAAGAAGGGATCGAGAAAGGAATTAGATCAAGAGGAGACAACCATTATCCAAGATCGAAGTTTTATGCATTACTCCGGCATTCCCCTCTTGCGGTTCGCATAAGCACATGGCGGCTCCGCTGCTCCCACCAGATTGTTGATATCCCTCAACGCTCTTCGACTGCCCGTATCTGTGGCAACAAGGGGAGAAAAGTAAGAAGTTAGTTTTCTTCAGCTAAGAGTTCGAATTCCAGAATCCGATTCTTGAAATGACTGACGAATGACCTCGGAAGTTTGCCGGTCCCATCACGCCTCGACCGTTCTCGTCGATCCTCTCCATTAAATCCAAGCACGGCCAAAACCTTACCTTCGACCAGAAACCAAGAAAGCTCGAAGCTTTACACGACGACCCACTAAATCCCACAGCAGAGGTCCGATCAAAGTCCAAGAACCAACGGAACCGACATCAAGAATCGGATCGAAACCTCTAAGCTCCCCTCCCTGCTCCGATAGACTGAGCAGACTCTGCCTCTCGGAAATCGCAGACTTGAGCTCGCGTGAACAGAGAGAGAAGGGAGTCCGACGAACGGAGTCTGCGTCCAAAGATTGTTTCCCCGTCGCATTTAAAGCGAACGGCTGATGGATCCCTACCGTTGGATCTCATATGGACGGCGAACACATGGCCTCAGACACTAACGGTTACTTGCGCTTCAAATTCCTTAGTAGCTGTCTGTATAAACAAACCCTCCAACGAGTGTGATTTCTAAATAAAACCAAAAAGTAAAAGGGAAAAGATTAATTTATATTAATAATAAAAGAGATAATTTTCACTAAAAGGTTCTAAAAAAAGCTCTTTTAAGGTATTTAAATCGTAAAATCCCAAATGATAACATTTTCTTTCCCTAACCATCTAATTTTTTTTTGAAAGATTCTTCTTTTACTACTTGTGAGGAAAAGAAATTCTCATTGTTGATAGCATTAAAATAAATTATCCATGCTTTTCTTTTATTTATCTTACTCGAATAGCTTAGATTGGCAGTAGGGTTCAAAAAGAAGATGAAAAGCTGAGATTAAGGACCGTTGTTGATGAGTGGTCAAAAGCGTGATTGAGACATGGAAGTGGCAATGAATTATTCGGCATGTGAGCTGTGGCGTGATGGAGAGGCGATCATTCATCCGAATGCTTGTGAGCTCAAAAGTGGAAGTTCTTGATGGGGTTAAATTAGAGTGATGGAATTCTCTGAACCAACACCTTTCTTCCTTCCTGTAGGTGAGACTGATGATGGATTGTATTCTACGGAAGTTGTTCAAGTGTGTAGCTTTTAATGGCAGTTCAATGGATTTGGCAGCCTGTGACTCAAGAGAGTGTATAGCCAGCCATGGATGCTGTCATCCCAATCTTTCTGGCCTTATTCCAATGTTCTTCTATCAGAAAAAACGAAGCCTATAATGTCAAGAAAAGGTGTTCCTTTCATCTATATATATTTTTCATATATATAATCTTTCTTTTCTTTGATATAAACAAAACTATATATAATCAATTAGAATTGACAAATGGTTATGCTAAGGATCAGTGGCAAGAGAAAGGGAAAAGAAAAAAAAAACATATATATATATATATGTTTTACTATTTTACTATTTAAAAAACTTAAAAAGATTCATACTAAGTTGAGAATTAAAGGAGAATAATTAGAGAGACTTTTGACACCTTTTCCTATCTTATGGTAAGCCCCTTATCTAAGGAAAAATTAATTTCATGAATATCAACATCCAAAATTTCTAATAATATTTGGTGATCTATCAAGGAGTGTGAATCCGATCAGCTTCATTTGATCCAACATGAACATGCTATCCACTTCTGATGATCTAGAAAAAAAAAGTCCCACAAAAAAAAAGAATCAAAATATAATTAAATAGACTTATTTATGGGAGAGATAAGAAAGAAACAAAGATAAATTAACATAATAAATTATGTTATTGATAGTCTACGATTCACTCATATGGACATTGCTTATGTAGTATTATCTTAAGAACGATCATCAAACACATATAATTTATTTTTTTTCGAAAAGACTCTCCTCTATTGCTTCATGCATTTTCGAATATCGACTGAATAGATAATAAGGATGACATGATATCTACCGGGATATATTTCTTAGTATAATCCAATCTCTTGATGTTTCAAGAGACAATGCTATTGCAAGAACTTCTACGAACGTTGAATATAATGTGGTTACTTATACAACTAATGAACTTTGTTCGATTCAATCATTGCAATATCGGGATAACATATTTATATGTTAATCATATATTTTACTCTCGAACGAAGCATATAGCTATCAATCTTTATCTTGTTCTCGATAAAGTTCAAAATAGTAAGCTACATGTCTCTCATATCTCATCTTTTGATTAACTTGCGGGTGCTCTTACCAAGCCTTTTATCTTGATAAAGGCCGGGGAGAACCGGATTTCGACTCCCTCGGCCTGCTCGTCATGACCTCGATATGCTCCAGCGTCTCCACGACCTCCTTCATCGATGGGCGACTCTTCGGGTCGCCGGCCAGGCACCTGACCGTGAGCTGCGCCGCCTGCTGTGCAGCCTTCGACGGGTACCTCCCCTCCAGCCTCGGGTCCATCAGCCGGGCCAGCTTACGTCGATCCGACAGAAATGGCTTGGCGAAGTCCACCAGGTTGTGGTGCCCGCTCGGCCGCGTCGTGTCCAGCGCCCGCAGCCCGGAGAGCATCTCCAGCAACACCACGCCGAACCCGTACACGTCGCTCTTCACGTACAGATGACCTGATCAATGGAACTCGTCTTCCTCGATCACATTTCCATCGACGGGGGAGGAGGTCTCGACGAATCACGGCACATACCTGTGGCGACGTACTCTGGAGCTGCATATCCATAGGTGCCCATGACTCGCGTCGTGACATGGGATTGCCCTCCGGTCGGCCCGTTCTTCGCCAGCCCGAAGTCCGAGAGCTTGGGGACGAAGTTCTGCAAACGAAACCGATGAATCAGTCATCCGCAGCGCACTCGAGAATAACTTAGATGGAGTTGCGGCGTCGGACGGCGTCAAGAAGGATGTTGGAGGCCTTGAAGTCCCGATATATGACTTGCTTCTCCGACAGATGCAGGAAAGCAAGACCTCGAGCCGCACCGATCGCTATCTTCATCCTTATGTCCCACGAGAGCGGCTCGTAAGCTTTTCCTTCTGCAAACGATGATGATATACTTAGACAATTCTACAAAGATCTGTGAACTCCATGGATTTAGAAGCTCGTGCAGACACTCGAACACATCAGAACAAGAAATCTGAGTCCAATTTAGTCACAGATCGACCGCGATTCTTGTCGGTATTTACTGACAAGAAGAGGAAATCAGAGATGATACAATACTCACTTCTGAAAAGATGATTCTCCAAGCTCCCTTTTGCCATGTACTCATAGACAAGGAGAAGCTCCTTCTCCTCCCAGCAGTAGCCTAAGAGCCTAACAAGATTGGGGTGTGACAACCTCCCTAGAAAATTCACTTCAGACTGCAATCCCAGGCAACAAGAGTTAGCACGCGCACCATTACACATTCGAAGCTGCAACAATTGACTACATCAACATGCAAGTGAAGAGGAAGATGATATAAGGTTGAATCGGGTCAGCTAAACGCATCAGATCGAGAATAATGAATAGATCGAGCAGATTTATGAAGCTTCATTTAGGTTTGCTAATTCTACTCACCTGCCATTCCTCCAACCCTTGCAAGCTCTCAGGGTTCAGTTTCTTGACAGCCACAATCATCCCAATCCCACTCTTCGTTGGATTCAGGGTCTTCTCGTCCACCCATCCCTTGTACACCCTACCGAATCCTCCTTCGCCAAGAACACAGTCAGGCTTAAAGTTCCTCGTCGCGCTCCTCAGCTCAGCAAAGGTAAAGATCACGAGATTTGGTGCCTCCAGGATCCGGCCCTCCGGGTATGCGTCACCAATGGTCACGCTGCTGCCTATCGATTGCCCAAGAGATGAGTTGCTGATCGTCGACAGTTTGCCAGTGGTAGCGGTGAGGTCGCTGCCGGTCGTCCTGGTCGTCGATCGCCCTGTGATTGCAGGAAAAGAAGCACAGAACAGAGGTCACCATGTGTTCACACCGCAAAAGTCCAGATCCAAGTTGTTCGTCGTCGTCGGAGGTGGTCAGCCATGATCGAGGTCGAATGATGCTTGCCGATTACAATTGCTTGGCATCAGAAGGAAATGGTCACTAGAACAAACGGAATGGCCTAAAGAGGTCTCATAGCAACCAAGAAACGAGGTCTGGATAAGGTATTGGAAACATCAAACGGAATGGCCTAAAGAGGAAGAAAGCTTGAATCTTGATCACAGAGTGGTAAGGATCAAGAGCAAGAAACTGCCAAAATTAGGAGATTGGAGGTAGTAAGATGAGCACACCATAGGATCAAGAACAAGAAACATCCAAATCAAAGAAGACAAACTAAAAGGGGGAACTTTTATTGTGTTTCGGATATACCTGGACTGGGAATCCTGGTGTCTGTGGGGCTTACAGCCTGCGCAGGCGTCTCAAAGCAGTTCCCCATGACCAAACGGCTGCTGGTTTCTTCCTCGTCTGTACAAAAAGCGGAGAAAGGGAGAATCTCGGGGAGAATGCAGATGAGACGAGAAGGGACAAGGCAAGGGCGGGAGAGGAGGGGAGGAAGGACTAAGCAGTCCGGGGCTAGATTTATAAACATGTTTGCCTCTCTTCTTTGTTCCTCCTCCCCCTTTTCGGCTGTCGCTTTTGCATCATTCTCTCTCTATCTCTGCGCCTATCTCTAACTAGACTTTTGGTGGGAGCTTGGAAGTGAATCTATTAATTGATTCTTAGAATACTCACTCCCTCTCGCCATACATTTAACTCTTACGCGGTGTGGAAGACGAATGTAGTAGTTGACTTGAAAAGCTGCAGCCTGTGCTGGTGTTCGATCAGGTGCAAATCGATCACCTGCACACGACCAACCAAAACCCAGCTAGCGATTGATGTCATGCACGTCTGCCACATGTTCCCCCCTCTCTTACACAGGCAGTCAAAGATAGAACAAGCAGAATAATTTCTAGTGGAATTGATCTCTCTCTCTCTCTCTCTATACGTATAATGAGGACCATAAATGCTTACTACAGCTCATCTTGTTCATGAATAGTATGTTGAGAGTATTGCAACACAACCATAAATGAAGTTGATATGAATGGCCTGAGCAACATTGCAAGGAGAATGAGAACCAATATGTTAGAAGATTTCATTGGTCCAAGCATGCGTTTCTTGTCATTTCCTCGTATTCACACCATGTTTTCCTGATGACATATCGATCTATATTGTAATACTATTGGAGTCAACCTGCTTTAATCACAAGAAAAAGAAAATGGATGTTGATGTTCCTCTAGTTGAGCTCATTGTCAATTCCTTTTTAAATGCCGTGTCTTTATATGAATTTAGAGCATGTCATCCACTCGTCTGCTTTTTTTGCTTTAAGAAATTAACGAAGAAATGCACGTCCATATAGGTGGGTGTGTCATGCCAATTGAATGCCTACCACCCTCAAAGACATGTATCCATGTCGAACCCATTCAACATGGCAACAATCTTATTAGAATATTCTCGTGGGACGCGGTGGTGGTGAAATGGTCAAGCCAGCTCAAGTCCTCACATGTGTTTGTGAGAGTGGCATGTAAGTATGCCATGGCCAATCAAGGAAGAAAATGGTATCAGCGTTTTGGTCTCCTTTGATTTGTTTTGTTGTTTTGTTATATGAAGTACATGATTTTGGTAGTCGGATGCAGTAAATGCCATGTTCATGAGGTAGAAGACAGTCAAATTCACCAAGTCAGCAATTGTTACCTGTTGGATTTCCAAGATTGAGGAAGCCAAACTCATGCAATCACAGAGAATTCTGGTGCTTGGTGTTTTCTTTTTGTTCTCTTCAAGATCTCTCGAGTTGGTACATGGAGCTACTCCAAACTTCTTGAGGATCCACACTTCCATCCATGAAGACTGTCTTCCGCAAGAATTCTTTCTTAAGGGGAAAAAGCTTGCTGATTGCACTAGGCTAGTCAATGAGGTGAAGTCAACTGTAGCAATAAAAAAGGTCAGCTCACTGAAGTCACCATCCTGCATCTTGATCTCTGACTAATGACTCATTAATCTGAGGTTTTGACTAGAACTTCAGAGGCAGATGATGAGAAACTTCTTCCTGTGGGATCAGTAAAGAAGAATGTACAGAAGGGTTGACTTTGCATTTATTGCTTCATGAATCTCTTGCTCTCGAGACATATTTCTGCATGCTTATTTTCTCCAACCACAACTTTGGTTTCCTGGTCAAGTTCATGGTTGAACCAAAACAGAGGTAGATTAAGATGAACTCATGTGACTTCTTGTGCAGTAATATCATCACAGATTAAAGAAAAATAGTCCAATACTTGTAGTCAAATGTTGGATTTAAGGGGAAAAGAAATGCCTCTTAAGAATTTTACTCATACCTTTGTTTGGGATGACATCTCATGGTCCATGATAGCATCACAGTGACTTGATCTTCTGCATGATGTGATCTCCAACACAAAGTTGGAATTCTCCCAAGCTGACCACTGGCAATTATCCTACAGGTCAAAACTAACTTCAATTCAAATAAATTAGTGTGGAAAAGACCTGAAACTTCAGCATAAAGAAATGTCGTGGACTTCTCAACTTTGAGTCAAATTTGGTGGAGTGGCAAGACAAATGGTTAGGAGTGCATATGACATAAGGCAGAAGCAAATAAAGAAATATTTTAGTTCAGTAGTTGGAAGAAAGGTCCCAAGCACAACTGGGAAAGTAGATATTGATCAACAATATAAAAAATGATACAAAATCATCCCAAGTTTTTAGTGAGATAAAAAAAAAAAAGAATTCAAACACAATGCACTGCAAAAGTTGTGATTCTTTATGTAGCTATAAACACAATGGAGACCTTGGTTTCAGGAACAATCACATGCATGTTCAGAGCTTTTCTTTTTATCTGCTCCCAGAGGAGCATATTCTCTTCCTACAGACACATATAGACATGGCAGCAATTATGTTAGTCTTACTGGAGCATCTTTGAAGTTGTTCATGCCAACTCAATTTATTATCTGAATCACAAGTAGGGGGTCTTGAGATGTGTGTGTAAATTAAAACTAATGTGAAGGTTTAAATTGGTGCAAGAGTGTTAATCATGTATGCATCTCAATGTTCATGAGTTGGTATCTGTACAAGCATTGCAGCATTTAGACTGAAGAAATGTAGGCAGACATGAATAAAGAGCATATTTTTCATCCAGTTAAAATGGTCATATTAACATCTAAGTATCACCTCATTTTGTTCTCCTGGCTGCCTTATCAATGCTTATCTGTAAGGAAATAAGTTGACAGAAAAGTTTGACAAGGCAACAGAAGCCAACTAATATCTAAAATACTCACATCACTAATTTGAGTTCTATAATAACTGCCAATTCGAAAAAACTCAGCAGTATGCATAAATACAAACATAACGAAGCAAAATTATTCACAGACACATGCATGTAATACATCACTCTTCAACATTCATTCAGGATGATGTGTAATTGCATTTGAATACTACTTATCAGCAAAAATCAAGTGGAATTCAGATCATGATGTTAACGTAGTCTGGATCTTCACTGCAATCTGAGAAACTTAAAACAGGTTAGACATGTACAAGACCTGTGTCATAAAACCACATATATCGATTACATATCCTCAAACCATGAAACCGTCACTAATACTTGATGAAGGCTGCCATAATCATTGCTTCGCTGACCCTTAATAGCTGGCAGTAGTAATAACATCAGTGTGACTAGGTTGAGAACAATTTACATATGGTTACATTGGCAACATATTCTTCTAGACCATGATGCACATAGTTTAATGCACTAGCATCTTTTTCATTTTTTTCATGAAATTGCCAGACCTCAACTCGGTCAAACGGAGAGCCCAATTTACATAATACCAAAACCTTTTCCAACACTGCATCCTCTAGAGGAGGCTGTACCGGCTACATTTCCTGAAGGCAAAGATGGAGGGGAGTTCATGACCTTGGAGTTGGGTTCTGCAGTGTAGGGCTGGGATGCCACATGGTCTAGGGCGACAACCACATCAGCTATGATGGGCCGAACATGTGCCTGCTCCTGGAGACACATTGAGGTGATGACAACCAACTGGTGAAAAGCTCGTGGAGGATAGTGGCCTCGAAGAGATGGATCAGCCAGCTGCAAGAACTTCCTCCGATCATTGAGAAAAGGACGTGACTGAAAGAAAAAGCAGAATAAATGATTAATAAAAATTGAAAGATAAGATGGGAAAGGGAGAAAAAAGAAGCAATAGAACAATTTTCAATAGACTTTTGACAGGTTTCCCACATGAGCATGCCTCAAATGTTATCCACCATATGCTTGTGTGCACACATATTAAGCTCAAAATGCATCTAGCTACTTATCTAAAACTCTAAATAATGTTCTTTGAACTGTATAGATGGAATTGTAAATTGAATTTGACACTTTCATTTTCAGTAAATGCATTTACAAACATTGTTTTGCTTCGGCATAGACAATAAGTTAAATCTTAGGTCTTGTCACTGAGATCAAGGACATGGAGAAACAAAACAATCAGTACATCTCTTTATGCTGAAATTTGCACATTGGAGGACTCCAAGATAAATGGATTTTGCATCAAAATTGAATACTAACTGCATCTAATGGGTTGAGATTGCATTTATTTACTCTCCCCATACTCCACATCAACAGGAGCCTTGTATTTTAGTCATCCTTTTTTATTACAAAATTTGGTTAAAAAGCTGGGAACCATTTCATGATGCTACATGTTAAGTCCAAACAATGAACATCAGAATTTAAATCATATGCAGACACTAAACAACAAAATTTTGCATTTGATACAGTTATAACTTTGATAAAGTACCATTATAAATCCTTTAATTCCAATATATGGTCAACACAACTCTTTGAGGAATTGAAGTTTCTGCAATTATTAAAACAACTAAAAGTCAAAATCTGAATGAAAAGCCAAAAACAGAACTTGCAGAAGATATCCTCAAGATCCTTTCAACTGTGCAGATTGTTTGAGATAGTCATATAGCCTTGTAAATCAGTCTATTTGAAAATAATAACAACAAAACACTGCTTACCCAAGTCACTAGGTTCTGCTCTGCACGAGTCCTCGAGTAATCAAAAGCTCGTCGTCCAGTTATCAGTTCCAGAAGCAACACACCGAAACTGTAAATATCAGACTTCAGGGTCAGCTTACCACTCATGACATAATCAGGAGCACAGTAGCCATATGTTCCCATCACCCTTGTTGAGACATGCGTTTTGTCACCAACAGGTCCAAGTTTAGCAAGCCCAAAATCAGAGAGCTTGGGGTTGAAATTGTTGTCTAACAATATGTTTGCAGCCTTCATGTCCCTGTAAATAACAGGTGGGCTTGCAACATCATGCAAGTATGTGAGACCTTTCGCAGCACCAAGTGCAATCCTTATTCGTGTGTTCCATTCAAGTGGTGGCTTCTGTGGAGATAGATCTGAGTAAACAAGCACTTTTAATTGATAAAGAAAAAAGAAGTAGAAGACTCAAAACAGAGTATTCGGACCATTCATCAATAAAGCAATAAAAGGTGGCATATACTACTAACCAATAAGAAACAAAGAAAAGAACAAACAGTCTTAGGCTCCATCAAACTTGTATCATACATATAACAGATGAAATGAGGCTGTCTCCATGCATTACAGATAAAAGTTGTCAGATAAACCTTAAAAGTATTAAAATGAAAAGCAAACATGTGATATATATATATATATATAAGAGGGGCACTCTAAACTGAAGCAGCTACTCATGCTGACCTATAGTTTTTAATTGAGGAGGCAAGGTGATTCAACAGTTCTCCAGAAATTCTTTACCAAGAAAGAGTGTTTCCTAAATAACTGTAAATCAGAACTGAATAACTCTATGGCGTAACTAATGTTTCTCAAAACTAAAAGAACTAGCTCCTTCATGTCACATGACCAGCCAACACAAAAGGGACAACTATATGCAGGAGAAGGTATCAGTATCTTTTGTGCAACTCATGGAAAAGTGACCTCCTACTTGTTGAAGCATATGTTGGGGCTTTTCCTAATAGCTTAAGCACCAAGTATATGCTTTAAAACTAATTATAACCATGTTCCTTATTATCAGCTTATTATATTATGAAAATTTTGCATATATCCCTCCAAAACTAGTGATTTTCATATTTATCCATCTAAGTCTAGGTTAAATCCTAGTGAGTAATACCTGTGAAAAGAACAAAAGGACAATAAGAAAGTAATAGTCCACCTAATTGTCGGTCATTAAAATTCCTGTCGCATAAAGGGTTGTTTTTTTGTTTTTTTTTTTGTCTAAGTTTATCCTTATATCTATAACCCAGACCATGAAGGCACAGTCAAGGATGCTCATTAGGGGAGACCAGACTCTTACAAGAAGGGGGGAAGAGGAGGCCCATAGGTGGGTCTTCCATCTCAAGAAACTATTTTGGGGAACGTCTCTTTAGCTCCACTAACTATATGGGAAGGTCAGTTTCAGCTGTGAGTACTTAAATATCAATCATGATATAAGCAAAGCGAAAACACAAGGATTGGATCTGCAATGTCGTAAGGTGAAGTACAGGGCTCACCGAATAAGTGGTCTTCTAAACTGCCTTTGGGCATGAACTCGTAGACCAACAACCTCTCATCTCCCTCAGCACAGTACCCTATCAAGCTCACAAGATTAGGATGGCGCAACACAGTCAGCATGAGAACCTCCACCAAGAACTCTTTACTCCCCTGAAGCCCATCTTGCTTCAGCTGCTTGATGGCCAGCACCTGGTCTCCAAAATCCAAGTTGGTGCGCTAATCGTCATAGGAACAACACAGTGCAGACAAACAGAATCAAGCAAGAACAAGATCAACTTGCCTGGCCCGAATCAAGCCGCCCTTTGAAGACCCTTCCGAAGCCCCCTTCTCCGATTAAATTGGCTTCTTTAAAGTTCTGGGTGGCCGTAGCGAGATCCCTGAAGGTGAATTTTCTTGCGGATTTACTCCTCTCGCCGCCCACAGAAGACGCCTTCTTCCCACTCTCTGACGCATGGAGAAAAGCCCAGGATTGAGAACAGAAATCAGAACAAAGCAAAGAAAAATCCAGTTTTGAGGATGGTTGAGGTACGCACCCGAAGCATCGACGACGAATCTCGAATGGGACCGGGAGCCCCCGCTGTCTTCGATCCTACGGCTCACTTCCCTCCGGCGAGGGTTGAAACACGGAAAGCAGCTCATCTACAGCAGCACTTCAATCCCGATGCCAACCAAAGCAATCCTAAACCACACCACCTACATTGCCCGCTCCTTCTCTTCCACCGCTCAGCATCACCAACAAGAACCAAAAAGGGGGAAGAGGAAACCAGGGCGATTTGCGTCGCTCTCCCTCCCTCGCCTCTCACTTCCTTCTCAGTGAGCAGACAAAAGGCCGCTTTTTATGGCAAAACTACAGGCCGCAGCGGCGATCCATTTCACACCCCGTGAATCTTTGCTTCCACTAAAGAAAAAAAAAAAGGCAGAAACTACCAAAAAAATTAGTTCTTTTACATGGCGAAACTTGCAGAAGAGGGGAAAAAAATTGCTGCTCCATGTGAAATCATTCATAACAACAGGAGCGAAAGGGGGGGAAAATGTGTATTTTACTTGGTTTAGCCCTTCGCACTCCTCACTGGCTTCCTTCACAATGAGGCATTTTGTTCTGTTCTGTATCGAGGAGGACACCTTTTTGTGGCCTGACGGAGACCAGAGGAGGCCTTCTCCTGCCGAGCAGTTTTGCTACATGTGAAGAAACAAAGACACCAAATGAAGGCTTGTCGAATTGGGGATCTTAAACGTTTGCGAGTTGCGTGTTGATCTACGAGGGGTGGAGTTCGTATGAACATGGGTGAGGGTTTGCATGGGATTAGGATCATTCGGTCGAACACATTGCCGCATGCACTGCTGGCACTCAATAAGAGTCAACAACGCTGACTGTGTGCGTGAATGGTTGACTCGGGAGGTGGGGCTTAGATCACGGCTTGACTTCAGAACGATATCAGTGGCTAAAGCTGGCACACTCTGATGACAGTTGCATGTATTTATCGGATTAATCATAGATCTGCTCAAATCTCGGGTTACTGAAGTGATGAATTAGTGCCTCGGTCCTATTAGATTTAACAAAAACATCTAAACTCGATAATACAATCTGAAAATAATAAAAGTCAACGTGGTAGCGAGATCTAATTTCCATGGCAGCATCACCTCCACCTCCTACAGAGAGAATTTTTAGCATATGATTTTAGAGATATCATATATTAGACTACAGTGAAATTCGAAATCGTTATATTATTTTTCTTGCTAAATGTAGCAGAAATTATATTATTTGCTCACACTTTCTACTTCTCAGGCTGAGATTTCTTCCTTTTTTTTGAACTCTTGTTATTTCAGTGATTGACACACACAAATAAGATAACCCTCCTCAGATATCTTCACATGAAAATTGCATCAGAACAGCTTGAAGACCTTGAGGTAGTAAAAGACATGTCCTAGTTTCATTCACCATTTAGAAAAACTACCCATCACCAGTCAAGCAAGAATACCAAGTTCAAGTATTTCAAGTGAGATCTATATCAGAGTTGGATTAGAAGATGCAGAGCAAGAACACAAACTTCAGGTACAAATAATCTATTCTTTGGCAGCAAAGTTCCACATGGTCCCAAACCCTGTCGATCAGTTGGTTCACAGGAGAAGACCCCACAATGATTGTAATTAGCCCATCGGCAGAAGCAAAAACTTCCCACTGCCAGGCCAATGATTTAAATGTTACAAATGGGATTTTAGCTGCTGCATACAGAGATTCATTTTTAACTTTAGTACATTAATTAATCTGTACAGTCCAACCTTGCAAAATGAATAGCTCCATCACAAGTCAGCTGTGTCTCTTTACCTCTCATTGGAGGGTGCAACTCCACAATATTAATCCTTCCCATGTCAACTGAACTGAAGAATCAATTATACTACCTTCAAAGCTGCAAGGCTAAATCAGGTTGTTGTGAGCCAACCACCATATCTGAAGCTGGTGACCCTGGTGACTGGAATCCAACATTCAGATCAGGGGGAGCAGAATCTGATTTCCGTTGCAGTGTGGTAGACTGCCATGGACCCTTTGAATCATTACCAGCTTCTTTCAAGGGCTTACCCGAATTTTTCGTACTTGAATTGTCCACCACTGTTGGCCTTTCTGCGGTCTGGTGTATGTAGTTGTTATTGGCTCTTGAGACCATGTCAAGTGCTCGAGCATGTGACATCTGTGCATCTGACCCAAAGGGACCATATAGCATACCAGCTGGTCTGATCATATTACCAAGTTGAGAAACCATATTAGAATTAAATGAACCACTGAGACCATCAATGGTCGGATGCATCCCTGGGTTTTGATGGTGTTGAAAGGGAACCTTGGGCCGTATTGCATCACCATCCACACCACCATTAATCAAGGAACTTGAGCCATTCTCATGACTGGGAACTCTGCTGAGCGAGGGATCCCCTGGAAAACTGGAGACATTACTAGAAACAGCCAAAGTGGAAGCAGGAACTGTGGTTCTGTTGATGTGGCCTTCCTTGACAATGACATCATTGTGGGGCATTTCCTGTCCATGAGAGTGTTTATCAATTGTAGATGAAGCACAGGATTTTGCTAAGGGATGCGGAGGAGATATAGATGGTACAAGTGGCTGAGAATGTTGTGGAGCTTCACCATCTGCAACCCATCCAGGGCCAAATTTGGTACCAGGAGGCAATACCCTTTGAATCTTTGGGGCAGTGAGGAGCCAACCAATAGGACCGAGCTTTGCAGCAAAGCGAGCCAAACTTCTTGCATATGCATATTCCAAATGAAGACCAACCTGATCCCATAATGTGAACATTGTTAATAAGTTTTAAAGTGTCATATACAATAGACATAAATAAACTGGTTAAAAAATTAAGCAACATCAGCAAGTGGTCACAAAAGATAACATAAACTATTTCAAACAATTCAAAAAGACCATCAACTTACATGCAAATGAAAACAAACTGGCTAAATTTTGAATCACATCACACTTATCTCGAGCAAACCATACTAAAATAGATATAGCAGATATACTAACTTGACCGTAATTTTTAATGAAGAAAATATAAAAATGAAATTGAATGATTCACCATAATACTTAACTGGCATAAGTTGCTTCTTCTCCCCATTGAGGATAGTAAATATCGGTGTCTCATGTGTATAGGTTGATGCAAGGGATTGTTTATAAGTATTACGACGGTTCTCATCTACAACAATGAGTTTCTTGCCATACTTTGTGTGATTTCCTTTTGGTGCAGACCCTGCAAATATGAAAATGCCAGGTACATACTTGTCACATGATTCTTTTCAGAAATGAAAATGGCTATTTGTATTAGATGAAGCAATTACATTTCTTAAGAAAACAGTTAACTAGAAAACATTCTTTATCACAAACCTGAATATTCTTCATCTCTATCTGCTTTCTGCTCAGAAATCCAACCACATGTATCAGTGCAGCGAAGACCATACAAAGCCCTATTGGATGCATTGGCAACACCAGACTTTTCCCCTGAGGATCCTTTTCTCAAGGAGTCATGTGCTAAATTAGACAGGTGATTAGTGTCCCCAGCATTAGCAAGTGTTACATCAGTTGAAAAGTCTGATGCAGCACGATCAGCAGGAGGCCGTCCAACCTTTTTGTGCTTATTTGGTGGTCTACCTCTCCTTACCACTGTTTTTGGTTCTGGTTCATTATCGTTGCCTTCTTGCCTTAAGTTCTCAAAATTCTTTTTAGCAAGCTCATGAATAGACCGTGCCTGTGCAGACGAATTGCTTCTTTAGATAACTTTAGATGGAAACCCAACTACTGACAGGTTCTGACCTATTCTAACAGAAAAAGTGCACTCTTAAAAATGATTTTTACCTGTCTAAAGTAGATAGTATCCGGTGCATTATAACGCATAGCATTTGAGCTAATTAAGAAGACATCATTCTGCAAGTTATACCAGAACATGTATGTTAAGCAATCAGGAAGGTGGAAATAAAATTTGAGTTCATGACATGTTTGAGATTATTTAGGTATTTTCATGTAAGTGGGAAACAAAAGCCAAATTATTGAACATAACATAGTTCTTTAATCGAATGAAAGTCCTGAAGGTGTTATCATACATCTTTCTTGAAGAAAAAGAAGGGTTTCCTTTGAGTTATGCAAAAGCTCTACGTAAATTCTTGGAAGTTATAAAAGAGAAGATCATTTTTTCATTTCCACCTCTGAGTAACTCATTTGTCATGACACTTCATCCACTAGTGAGATTGTCATTGAGCATGTTGCCTCGACCATCACTACCTTGCTGAAGGTCGGGATAATGGGTAAAGGCAGCGTTCATCTGCCACTGGAGCTATGTAGGTGACAAAAAGTCTTTCTGTGATGCATTTCTTTCTTCCTCTCATCCTTTTCATGTTTGATGCAAAGATTTTGGCAAATCATGGTGTTGTAATACTTCTTCATTTATATGGTATGAGCACATGCTGGCAAATTCTTCCTGTCCCAGCAAAAATAATCACAATAGAGTCACATGCCACTATGATGAAAGACCAATCATGAGGACAATCGCAAAAACTGAAACTGAAAGAACTAAACGTAATCGGGGTGCTTCTTCGTCAGTCTTCAATTGGTCTATCGGCCTCAATGTAGAAAACTAGAAATACCCTCATGCCCCTTATTTTTGACTCATTTCAAAACGGAAGGCATTTAGGCCCTCAAGGCTACAGGTGAGTGAAGGAAAGGGTAACCTACTTCAGTGATTGTCTCGACAAGAAGGTAAAGTTCCACAACTCAAATCACAAGTGCATTGAGCGAAAACAGCTCTATATGTGAGCAAACTATATTTCCCTTTGAAGAAAAAGCAATACAAATGATGACATACCATGTATATAGGTGTCTTGCTTTGCTAAGCAGGGAATAGCAATAATGTAAGACTTAAATTGGCCAAAGCTTAGCTCAATGTTCCATTGAGAAATTGCTTAGGATGGAGATCCAATAAAGAACAAACATTTTCAGAAAAACTTTTCAGCAAATCAAATTCTAATTCCAAATCCTTCCATATGATACATAAAAACTAGATCAAACTTTGAAGAAAGAAAGTCAAGTACTTAATACTTGACATGGTTCAAGCGACTACCAAAAATCAGTATGAATATTCTAGCACTACCAGAATCTTGGTGGCTGCAACTAACATTATAGAGAACATGCTATACACATTAGTGTGTGCACACAATCTTGCAGAAAATACTAATCAGAAACAGATAATGTACATGGTCACATACGGTCATTAAGAAACTCTTGATTGAGGGATGCTAGAATTTTCTGCATCAAGAAATCCACAAACAATAATTTGCCCCCAACTCCACATAAAAATAAATATCTAAAAAACTTAGAAACCAGAAGAAGATTGGAGTGTGCAAATAGAAAATGCAAATTAGATATTTTTTATGTATAAATCCATTTTATAAATATAAAGAGAACGTTTTTGTCAATTTGCTGGCAATTGAAATGCTTATAACTCCATCTTGCCACAAAGTGTGTTACCATACAAAATTCATAGTAGATATTTAGACTATGCACAAATAATTAATAACTTGGTATTCTAACTTCAGATAAGAACAAATGGCTTTCCACAGATGATACCCAAATACATTAATCATAATACATGCCGGAAATCTTACACCGATAAGAAAAGACAACTTATATAAACTCACCAATATATATACAAAACAAACCATGCATAGATCAATAA